GGGGGGGGTTGTAATACCCCCAAAGAAAAGTAAAATAAAATGGACCCAACATCCCTAGAGAGGGCCCCGATATATTGATATACTGATGTAGTAGTCAGAGTGTACAAACATACACTTTATTAATATCGACAACAGCATAAACAATAGATGAACAATAAACGAAATAATTGAGTTTTCTTCTACGACATTATTCTAATACTGAAACTAGCGGCCATTGAGTTCATCTGCTAAGTCTGTACCTGTTCGCAGGTTGTCTTCCCTAAAATTCTAGCTACTACATTCCATTCCTTTTTAAAAAAGAAAACATATGTTTGGTAACATATGTTTTATTGACCTAACTCAATAGGACATAACACTCTATTTGACTGTACAAGTTCAGTGGCAGGTTCATCTTCTACTTTGACTGGTTCTGAGGCTTTGTTCCACTTTGTCTTCTTCGATTTTCTATCCCAAAGTTGTATATCATACACGTCTTCGTCTTCGTAGTAGCTGACGATCTTCCTATACCATAGCGTCCCCCTAGACGGTCTAAATGGTATTTCACTAGTTGACTGGCCATGCATCTAACAGTTGCAGAGAGTTTTTCCACCGGCTTCGTCAAGCATCTCAAACAGTATCGATGGTGTATGAATCAACAACTGACGAATTCCACGAATGCTTTGAAGAATCTTTTTGAACTCGGGATTTTTTGTGTAAAGGTATTTGCACGCTTCTCCGGTTGACGACTTATAGCCTTTTTGTAATTTTAATTTAATTTAATTTAATAATTATGATAAATCTCTTTCTCATCCGCTCCCTTTCGCATCATATTACGACACAATATCTCGGCGAGTATTTACCCCATTTTAAATAGAAGCCACCATTGTAATCATCACAAAATAACCTTTCAAACGGGGGGTCAAGTGCCGTCAGAACATAACACAAACCGAAACAATCATATATTTACTGGTGATTCTAAATTTCAAATCCACAAGATCTTGAATATCTCTTGAACATTTCGTCATTTTTGAACGGCTATATGTGTAAAATACTCTTTGTATTCAAGCGCTTTCGTGTACAAAATTTCGTTTGAATACGGCGAGTAGAAATATTTATTTTGAATTTTTCAAGATGTCTGGTTTTACTCGCACTTGCGTACATTGCGCAATAATTGGCCAATAAGAAGCTCCTGTAGCCGGGATGACGTCAAACTCACGCGTGTAGGTGCAATTTGACATTGCAAATCCATTTCTGGCCTTTCCAGGGTCATACGATACAAGCTTCGCATTGTTTTAACGGTTTTCAGTCGTATTTCCGGTTGGGATTAACTCACTTCGAGGTCACAGTCGGACAAGAAATGGAAATATATTGATAAAAGATACAGATTTGAAGAAACAGGCTCTATAAAACTCTAAATAGTGTTTTTGATGGGGATTCTAACAAGACTATTACAAAGACGATATGTTCGAAGGGGCCGAAGTTATTTTCGGCGAAAGGTATGGCTAGTCTATATTTTTGTTCAGACAATTGCGTAATTTGATACAATATGATCGTGTTTGACTTTTAAAGGCCCATAAATCGCTACAATGTTGATAATGACTAAAACTATAGGGAATGGTGGTATTTCTGTTTTCATAGCATGCACAGAACCGAATATATGAAATTTCTCGGCATCGATCTCTCAGCATCGATGAGACTGGGACGTGATTAGAAAGAGTTTTACCAAGCATGCAGTTCTTCGATCATGATGCTTATGTCGTCATCAAAAAAGTCTCCAAGCTTTTCGTAGAATTCCTATTATCTGGATCAGTAATATCATTGTAATATAAACAAACATCATGGTAATTGACCTCGTATCCTTAAAATTTTGAATGCTTCTCAGGGGACTGTTGTTCTGGACTTAGATCTGTTAGATACTGAATGATTGTCATTAATTCAGGACATAAACGTTGTTCATCTCTGAATAAAAACAAGTAAGGTTTCAGGGCATTTAACTGATCTTGTGCTAACTCATTCTCTGGCGATAAATCAACATCAACATCGAGACATGACTCGAGAACAACTACTAGTGTTTTTACATCCATCAAAGATTCTATTAGTTAACCTGCACCGTAGCATGAGAACGAACGAATATGCAGGTATGTAAATGTCTTTTGGTCAAAAGCTGAAATCTGATTGGATTGCATAATTAATCTCGTACGTATTGGACGAGTAAAGACGAGAGCGAACGAATATGTAATTAATAAACAAGAATTAATTTGCATGATCAT